GCGGACAAGCTTTTTAAAGTCAAGGCCCCTGTGACCTTGACCTTTGACCTGGTGACCTCAAAGTCAATAGGGGTCATCTACTAATCATGACTAACCTCAATGCCAAATATGAAGACTATGGGTCAAAGGAATCTTAAGTTATTGGGCGGACAAGCTTTTTGAAGTCAAGGCCCCTGTGACCTTTGACCTGGTGACCTTAAAATCAAGAGGGGTCATCTACTAATCATGATTAATCTCCATGCCAAATATGAAGACTGTGGGTCAAAGGAATCTTAAGTTATTGGACGGACAAGCTTTTTTAAGGCAAAGCCCCTGTGACCTTGACCTGGTGACCTCAAAATCAATAAGGGTCATCTACTAATCATGATTAATCTCCATGCCAAATATGAAGACTGTGGGTCAAAGGAATCTTAAGTTATTGGGCGTACAAGCTTTTTGAATTCAAGGCCCCTGTGACCTTGACCTTTGACCTGGTGACCTCAAAATCAATAGGGGTCATCTACTAATCATGACTAACCTCCATGCCAAATATGACGACTGTAGGTCAAAGGAATCTTAAGTTATTGGGCGGACAAGCTTTTTGAAGTCAAGGCCCCTGTGACCTTGACCTTTGACCTGGTGACCTCAAAATCAATAGGGGTCATCTACTAATCATGACTAACCTCCATGCCAAATATGAAGACTGTAGGTCAAAGGAATCTTAAGTTATTGGGCGGACAAGCTTTTTGAAGTCAAGGCCCCTGTGACCTTGACCTTTGACCTGGTGACCTTAAAATCAATAGGGGTCATCTACTAATCATGATTAATCTCCATGCCAAATATGAAGACTGTGGGTCAAAGGAATCTTAAGTTATTGGGCGGACAAGCTTTTTTAAGGCAAGGCCCCTGTGACCTTGACCTTTGACCTGGTGACCTCAAAATCAATAGGGGTCATCTACTAATCATGACTAACCTCCATGCCAAATATAAAGACTGTAGGTCAAAGGAATCTTAAGTTATTGTGCGGACAAGCTTTTTGAAGTCAAGGCCCCTGTGACCTTGACCTTTGACCTAGTGACCTCAAAATCAATAGGGGTCATCTACTAATCATGACTAACCTCCATGCCAAATATGAAGACTAAAGGTCAAAGGAATCTTAAGTTATTGGGCGGACAAGCTTTTTGAAGTCAAGGCCCCTGTGACCTTGACCTTTGACCTAGTAACCTCAAAATCAATAGGGGTCATCTACTAATCATGACTAACCTCCATGCCAAATATGAAGACTAAGGGTCAAAGGAATCTTAAGTTATTGGGCGGACAAGAAAAAACCGACGGACGGACGGCCGGACGGACGGACAGCCGGACGGACGGACAAGCTGATTCCAGTATACCCCCCTTACAACTTTGTTGTGCGGGGGTATAATAAGAATAAAGACTTTATTTAAAGAGGCAACATAGTTAGGCATGCCCAGTCTTCCCTGTGAGCCTCTATCAAATATACAATGTACATAGTATGAACATTTACAACAAAGGATATGATAAACAACAACAGAAATAACATTGTTACAAATAGTTAAGAAACATATAAAATGAAAATCTAGGGGGAAAAAAAAAGAAAAAAGAAAAAAAAAGGACATTCAAAAAGCATAGTATAGACAATGAAAGTAAAATATACATTTCTCATTTTATAATACAACTTGATGGAATTTATTCACCATTTAAGATAATTATTTTTGAATGACTGTAAATTTGTAGAGTTTCTTATATCTAAGGGAAGAGAATTCCAAAGTTTTGAGCCTGAATATGATAAAGATTTTCTGCAGAACTCAAGTCTAGGTTTCGGGATTTGAAGTAGTTTTTGTTCATATGATCTTAAATGTGTATTTTCTGTGTAAGTAAAAAGGTTTTGCATATAATCAGGGAGAAGATTGTTTAGGGACTTGTATACTAAAATAGCTTTTTTATAATTAACTCTTTCAGAAAATTTCATCCAGTTTAATTCAGAAAATAAATCATCAGTGGGGGCATCAAAATCTTTGTCTAATATTATTCGCGCTGCCCGTTTCTGAAATTTATACAAGTCATTTAGGAGTTCCTTACTGCAATTTCCCCAAATAGTGCAACAATAGTCTAAATGGGGAAGAATGTATGCATTAAAGAAAATTTTCCTTACATGAACATTTAGAAATTGTTTTATTCTCAAAAGCAGGTATAGTAATGAATTGCATTTATTCAGTGTCATTTTGACTTGCGTTCAGTGTATGATCAACATGGACACCTAAAAGTTTTTCTGTTTCTAGAAATTGTAAGTTTTCATCTTGGAGAGTGATCTGGAAATCACTAGAATTACTGATAGTATTGTAGATATTATTTGAAGGTGAAATAAACATAGCTTTAGTTTTATTAGCATTTGGAAATGCTAATCAAAAATTCTAGAAAGACATGTTAGTGATCACCTAAAATCATTTCTTGAAGCTAACTCTCTCTTTCAACCAAATCAATCTGGCTTTCGCACAAATTATTCATGTGAAACAGCTCTAACTTCAATTGTTGACAACTGGATTAAAGCAATAAATGAAGAGAAACTTATAGGGACAATATTCCTTGACCTTACAAAAGCATTTGACTTAATCAATCATGAATTGTTATTAAAAAAACTAAAAATGTATAAAATAGATAAAAATTCAATTTCTTGGTTCAGATCATATTTAAGTAATCGTTCACAACAAGTATGTGTGTCAGGAAAATACTCTAATGCTCAAGATGTTACATCTGGTATACCTCAAGGCTCAGTTTTAGGCCCTCTTCTTTTCATTATTTACATAAATGACATGCCTTTGCACTTATCACATTCCATTTCAAATATGTTTGCTGATGACACTTTCATTACAGTATTTGGACAAGCTATCAATTCAATCTGTATAAATCTTCAGTCTGACCTTGACTCTATTCAACAATGGTGTACCAGGAATTCAATGATTCCAAATGCCAAAAAAACCAAAGCAATGATTATTTCCCCTTCACATAATATCTACAATATCATCAATAATTCTAGTGATTTCAACATCACTCTGCAAGATGAAAGCATTCAATTCTCAGAAACAGAAAAACTTTTAGGAGTCTATGTTGATCATACACTTAATTGGAAAACACATGTCAAGATGACGCTGAATAAATGCAATTCCTTACTATATCTACTTATGAGAATTAAACCATTTCTAAATCTTCAAGTTAGGAAAATGTTCTTTAATGCATACATTCTTCCTCATTTAGACTATTGTTGCACTATTTGGGGTAATTGCAGTAAGGAACTCTTAAACGACATGTATAAATTTCAAAAACGTGCAGCAAGAATAATACTTGATAAAGATTTTGATGCGACTACTGATGAGTTATTTTCTGAATTAAACTGGATGAAATTCTCTGATAGAGTGAATTATAAAAAGGCCATTTTAGTATACAAGTCCCTAAACAATCTTCTCCCTGATTATATGTTAAATCTTTTTACAAATACAGAAAATAAATCATTAAGATCATATGAACAAAGACTTCTTTTAGTCCCCAAACCAAGAATTGAATTCTGCAGAAAATCCCTATCATATTCAGGCTCAAAATTTTGGAACTCCCTCCCTTTAAACATAAGAAATTCTTCCAACTTACAAACATTTAAAACTAATTATCTTAAATGGTGGTTCTCTGTTGGGCACCAAATAATCTAGCTGTGTTTTAATATCACATATATACATGTATGTCTCATAAAATGTACAATTTCATACTTTCAAAATAATTAATGTTTGTACTCATTTTTTATTGCATTTTTCAATTACTCTATTTTTTTATGTTGTATAACTTGTATACATTAAGTTTTCTTTCTTTGTTTATATAAATCTTTGTTTGTAACGGTATATATGTACATTTTTGATAGAGGCTCATAGGGAAGACTGGGCTTGCCTAACTATGTTGCCTCTTTAAATAAAGTCTTTATTATTATTATTATTATTATTATAAAAATGGCCTCAGGTCTTAGGGTAACTAGTAACCGACGCTGAAAAGCCTTTTACTCTATCTCAATTTTTTGAGCAGTTGCAGCAGTTTGAAATCTGTTTTGATGGGAAAAAAATGCAAAATACTGATTTTTTGCAATTTTGAGACGTCCCCCAGTTGCCATGGTAACAGGAAATTTACGATTGAGCATGCTGTTACAGAGGCCATGGTCAAGTCAACATTTGTGCCAAGTTTCATCTGTATTGAAGCATTTATTTATATATATATATTTATATATATATGTACATACACAACAATAAATATATATGGTCATTTAATAATGTTTTGAACTGAATTCAATCTTATTTAATTTCTAGACCTTATATCTACTTAAAACATAATTGTTTTTAATCTGAATCGCTGTTTAGATGAAAATTGGAGGAAAAATAATCTGTTTCATGATGAAACGGTCTATTTGAACGCTGAATTCGCTTACTGGGAAATGCCGCCACAACAACATTTCAAACACAAGTATAACAACTTTATGTTTTCTTGAAACTTTAATCAAATCTACATCGCATAGCATTCTCCGAATTTTGATATTTGGTGTAGAGTTTACAAAATATATAACAAGAGCTGTCACAGGAGACAGCGAAGCTCGACTAATAAAATACTGGACGCAGTAAGGAGGACAAAACTATGAAAGAAAAATCAATTATGTATAATTATGTTTTAAGCGATAGTAAAAAAATAACATTGTTAACATAAATTCCAAGATCAAGGGGAATAATTCTAGAAATAGTCTCGCTAGGGTTATGAACCTTGTCACACAACATGTGTGTCATGATAAGAATATATATTTGAAGTTTGAAGTAGATACTTTAACAAGAGCATCGCTAGGCGGAGCATTATATGCCCGAAAGTGTTTTTTTTTTAGTAAGGATGAAGCATTCATTAGACATGGGAATTAGCTGTTCATCCTATAAAATTTTACAGATGTAGGTTGATTAATACTCAAGTCATTAATAATGACCTTAACCTTTGACCTTGTGACCCTAAAATCAATAGGGGTCTTCTACCTTATATGGACAATCATCCTATGAAGTTTGAATATGTGGGTCAAATGGAACTTAAGTTATGCTCCGGAAACTGTTTTCAGTATCAAGGTAATAGTGACTTTGACCTTGTGACCCCAAAATCAATAGGGGTCTTCTACCCAATATGAACAATCATCCTATGAAGTTTGAACATTGTGGGTCAAATGGAACTAATGGTATTAGGACCCTAATGGGCACTATCAGGAACTAAAGAATTGACATCATAGGTCAGATGTATACCTTAAAGTACACCTGTATGCAAAATTTAAACAAAGTTTACCGTACGGAAATCCAGTTATGGCCACTTTTCTGAACTCAAACTAGGATGTTATGAGGGCCCTTTTTTAGAAATGAGGAACCTTTAAATAATCTGCAATAACATTCTAATGAAAAATGTTTTCCCATGAATTTTTGGTAAGAAACAAATAGTACCATTCAGCTAACAATCCACATAAGCAAAATTATGGTTTCTACTTAAAATTTATGAAATCTTTATAAATATGTTACCCTACCCCACCCATTTTTACCACATGTCTGACCATTTTTCTACTTAGGGAACCTAATTAAAAAATTATTAAAATTTACCCAAATGAGTGCCTGTTTTCAAAGTTTCCCTAAATTTTTAAAAAAGTATATTGGTTGATCTTGTAAAATATGAAATACTTTTACCGTCTAGTTTTGATTATATTACACTTTGAAAATATCAGGTACCATATTTATTACTAGATTTAGCATAATTTAGCCAATAAATACCTATATAAATTAAAAATTCAAAATTAAACACTTTTTTCTTTCCATATGGGACATGAGAGATACATAAATAATGTTAAAAGAAAAAAAGAAAGAAAAAAAAAGTTGACCCGTCTGGGGATTGAACCCATGGCCCTCATTTTCAAAGTAGTTAACAGTAATTCTAGCCTATTTGAATACTCTTCAAAGCGGAGGTAATGCATTAGGGTGCTAATACCTTAAGTTATGCTCCAGAAACTGTTTTCAGTTTTAAGGTAATAGTGACCTTGACCTTTGACCTTTTGACCCCAAAATCAATAGGGGTCTTCTACCCAATATGGACAATCATCCTATGAAGTTTGAACATTGTGGGCCAAATGGAACTTTTTTTTAAGTTATGCTCCGGAAACCAAATTGCTAACAGACAAATTGCTAACAAACGAAAATTGTTTTCAGTATCAAGGTAATAGTGACCTTGACCTTTGACCTTTTGACCCCAAAATCAATAGGGGTCTTCTACCCAATATGGACAATCATCCTATGAAGTTTGATAATTGTGGGTCAAATGGAACTTAAGTTATGCTCCGGAAATTGTTTTCAGTTTTAAGGTAATAGTGACCTTGACCTTTGACCTTTTGATCCCAAAATCAATAGGGGTTTTCTACCCAATATGGACAATCATCCTATGAAGTTTGAACATTGTGGGCCAGATGGAACTTAAGTTATGCTCCGGAAACCAAATTGCTAACGGACAAATTGCTAACGGACGGAAACTGTTTTCAGTATCAAGGTAATAGTGACCTTGACCTTTGACCTTTTGACCCCAAAATCAATAGGGGTCATCTACCCAATATGGAAAATCATCCTATGAAGTTTGAACATTGGGGGCCAAATGGAACTTAAGTTATGCTCCGGAAACCAAATTGCTAACGGACAAATTGCTAACGGACGGACGGACGCCAGGGGGTATAACATAATATGCCCTTTCGGGCATATAAAAAGTAAAGAAGTTATAATATTTCTTAAAGAAAATCCTAAGTTCAAAGAGAGATAAATCTGTAAATATTGCTTCACATAAAATGTAATTGATGATAAGGAATAAGTATTTGAAGTTTCTAGTAAAAAAATCTTAGTTTATGGGGAGATAATTTTTGCAATATTGGTGTTAGAGTTATGAACCTTGTCACATAAGATGTGGATGATGATAAGGTACATATACTTGAAGTATGAAATTGATCCCTTAAGAAATAAAGAAGTAACAGTAAAAAATAGAATTTTTTAAGGAAAATTCTAAGTTCAAGGGGAGATTAATCTGAAAATATTGGTGCTAGAGTTATGAACCTTGTCACATAAGATGTGGGTGATGATAAGGTACATATATTTGAAGTATGAAGTTGATCCCTTAGGAAATAAAGAAGTATGAAGTTGATCCCTTAGGAAATAAAGAAGTAACAGTAAAAAAAAGTATTTTTTCAGGAAAATTCTAAGTTCAAGGGGAGATAAGTCTAAAAATATTGGTTTTAGAGTTATGAACCTTGTCATATAAGATGTGGTTGATGATAAGGAACATATATTTGAAGTATGAAGTTTATCCCTTAAGAAATAAAGAAGTAACCGTAAAAAATAGTATTTTTTAAGGAAAATTCTAAGTTCAAGGGGAGATAAGTCTAAAAATATTGGTTTTAGAGTTATGAACCTTGTCACATAAGATGTGGTTGATGATAAGGAACATAAATTTGAAGTTTGAAGTTGATACCTTAAGAAATGACAAAGTTATAGTGAAAAATATTTTACTGCACCAAAACTTTAATCTGAAATCTGGACGCAGACGCTGACATCGACGCCACCGCCGAAGCCGGGGCTTCTAGGACAGCTCTCCATATACTTCGTATAGTCGAGCTAAAAAATGAAAACACTTGATACTTGATTTTAGCGACATGCACTAGCTCGGAAGTAGCGATAGAGCGATTTAAAGAGGTAGCTCTATCATTTACCAGGCGTGATGTAATTCTTATCAGTTGTGTGCTGTAGAGCTAATTTTAGCACTGTCAAATTGCATGGGTGAAGTCACACTCCAGTACACAGGCAATAAACATGCTGTGTGTAAAGCACTTTATACATGACATTTTCATTGAGTGTGATTTAAACATATGTAGGATATGATAGGTAACCAGGAGTGGATTGTATGAAGGTAATAGGTGAAAATTCTCATGAGGCAAATTGACTCTTGTGCAGATTTTATCACGTGTCAAATGTGTGCATTTCCTGATTCTCATGAGTCAAAATCCAGATATCCGTGTCAAACGAGAACCATGATTAGCATGTACCAACAAATACATTGAAGCATTTTTCAAACTCACTGATTGTTGCTACTGATTTTTGCCATTCAAAACAATTTAATCCTAACAGTTATGTAAAACCACATATACGAGGGTTGTTCAAAAAGTAATAGGACTGCAGTTCTACTGTTCACATTTTTCAATTTACGTGCACAATTTTACAAGATAATAATATCGGAATATATCCTCTATATACAGTGAAAAAATTGATAAAATATGTTTACAAGTAACGAGTCTGTGAAAATTTCAAATGACAATGGGTACGCGACCCGGCGCACGCTAACAGCACAATAGATGACGTTTATGACGTAGTAAAATAAAAACAAAATGTATCAAGCGTCATCCCTTTGAAAGAATTACCCCTAGTGTTCTAGGTGTCTAAATCATGTAACTTTGACCAGACCTCATATGTGGAGATGAAGCAAGAAAAAAAACAATCACATTCTTGTTCCACTCTCCGAGAAAAAAAGCCCGATAGCCGGCCACTCTCCGCTTATTCTCTTATTCTTGTATCTTATAGTATTCAATAAAGATTAAACAGGCATTAACTTATGATGTTAATGAAAAAGCGATTAATAGAATTATTTTACACATATCATCGTATGTTCTGAAAACAATATGATTATGTAAGTAAAATAACAATACAGCTGTAGTTATCAACTAAAAAGTATATTTTCCTACTAAAAACAGCGTATCATTTTTAAAAGAAAATCGGTGAAAATATTAATAATTACCGTTAATCATTATGATATTAATTTATTGATAACACATATATCTAGTTAAATGAAATAGAAATTTGTTTGAAACAAATCATTTAGGCAAATCTGAATGATGCAGACCCGATGCATAAATCAAACATGCCGGACAGTTCATGGACTGTTTACCGTCGATCATTTTGTAGCGCTTTTTCATTTGACATCACTAACGTCCGGTCAATTTCCCGCTATCATTCTCATCCTTTCCTGTTTATGATTTCGTATGTGCAGTTTTTGAGTTGTTTGCGCAAGCTGAGAACGAGTATCCTGATAGCTGATTAATTGTACTGTGTTAATGTTATGTTTTCATATGTATCTGAAGGAGTATCGCCTATTTGTTGGCAAAGTTTAACGATCGCACACATTTTCAGTTTTTTAACGAACGTCAAATTTCTACATTTAACGTTATGGCCACTGCTGTTCAAAACTTAATGGTTTAGCCATTTCATGTCTGAATGACGTCAAATTTGGGCATAATGTCACTTAAATATAATAAATTGTGTTGGTGGAATTAATGGGGGAAAAAAGAAAATAAGTTATGAATAAAATAAAAGTTCAACTAAGCTTCGATAACCTTTCTATGTGCTGCGCCGGGTGCATGTTACCATGGTTATTCAATAACACAGGGAACACGCGTGAAGCATAAGAATTCAATATTTTTATGTTTAAATTGAAGAAAACATTTTTCGATCACTGTACATATGAAAATATTCTAAATTGAATTGAATATGAAGATGCAAGACTCTCAGTCCTATTACCTTTTGAACAACCCTCGTATATCAAAATACATGCATAAAACTCAAAGGTAACAGCAACTTAAATTCTTGTACATCTTTAAAGTACAAAGCACATGGAGTACGAACATCACACTTTGTCTTGTATAAAATATTCGTTAACGAAGGCTGTATTTTCCAACTGCATGCAAGCAATCAATTGGAACAACCATTATTGAATAACCATGGTAACGACACTAATACCAACGGCTGTATACATTTAAACTTTGCAATTTTAATGTTCTTCTTTTTTATATTTATCAATTTTGACTAATCTGCTGACGAACTCCGTCCTGGTGGATGAGCACAGGGTGAAAATAGGAAACAATGTAAAAAAGCAAAAGTCTTGTGGCTTGACTTTGCAAAAGCAAAGATGAAATATTCATATAATCATACAATTTAAAGCGTATATAGCCATTTACCATAACACACGAAATATTTATTTGTCATTCTCGATTCTAGCCAAGTTTACACTATGCTTCGCCCAGTAATGCATTTTTTTCATTTGTTTCCGTAAAAAAAAACCTGTAAAAAATAGGATATATTTTCGGTTCAGATTTTAAGAGCATGCAAATCCCTACCTTACATAATATTAAACTTTTTAACTATAAAAAAAAACTGTTTGCATTAACACTTAATAAATTGAAAACCTAATGAATTTTCCTTTCGTTTTCATTTGCAAAACGTGATTTTTCCCGCAAACCGAAAGCATGTAAAAATAATATCCGTAAATTAAACTTTTATCTTAATCAGCTAGTTTTTGTGAAAAAAAAATACATTTTTTATTCACTTTCGTTTCTTTGTGAAATAATTTACACAATAAAATGTGCAACTCATTGTCAAGACCCGAAATATTTTACATTGTATTTCGGAAATGACACATTCTCCTTACGGATGATGTTACGAACTTAATGGAAGAATGCATTATTGAATAGGGAAATCAACTTCACTGTAGCTCTCAAAGTTGTGCTATTCTGATTGACTCTGTTTTGAATTAACATTCACATTCAACAACCTTTTCATCTTTTCTAATGACTTAACAGAAAAATCTTCAAAACAATGTCTGTTGAAACAAAAAATACAAGATACACTATACGGACGACGGACGAAAATGATGGACCATCTTAATAGCTCACCTGCACTTTTAATTTTGCCTATATGTCTATATGAAAACTCCGGAAAACGTCTTTAACTACATTGTATTGTAATTTTGTTGTTGTTTATCATACCTTTTGTTTGTAAATGTTTATATTATGTACATTGTATATTTGATAGTGGCTCATAGGGAAGACTGGGCATGCCTAACCATGTTGCTTCTTTAAATAAAGTCTTTAAGTTTGACCCTACCCTTGGAACTAGGGTGTCCAGGTCTTGCACATGGCACATTGTCTCATCATGTTTCACATGCCTGCCTAGTTATTTTAAAATTCCTTGATACATGACAAGAGTTATGGACAGGACAAGGTGTTGTAACTGCTGATATAAGACCTCTAAGTGTGACCTAAGAGCTTGGGGTCTAGGTCTTGCACATGGCACACAGTGTCATGCTACACATTTGTGCAAAGTTATTTCAAAATCCCACAATATATGAGTAATGTTGGGAAGAAGATTTTCTAATTGCTTGCCTTTGACCTCTAAAAAAGACCTTGACCTTGGAACTAGAGGGTTTGGTCTTGCACAAGACACATTGTCTCATCATGCTTAACATTTGTGCTGAAATGTTTCAAAATTCTTTGATAATGACAGAGTTATGAGAAAATTTTCGATCATACCATGAAAGGACTGACTGCCTTCGGCAATCATCATGGTAGAAGCATAAAGATTAAAGTGACATTATAATGTAATTTTTGCACATGATTAATGTAATATTTCATGAAATCAGGTATAGAACATGATGCTTTAAAGTTAAGTTTAATTTTGACACATAATCTGGTGCCCACTAACTTAAGAATACAATTTTCAAAGCACTTTCAATAGTTGACTTAACTATCTTCATAATGTATTAAATTAAATACCTGTATAACCTCTTGGTACAATTCTGACCATAGGCATAACAACAGAGGAGAGAGACACATGTGTAAAGCCCAACTCTTCTGCTATAGCGCCAACCTTTTTCTCATGGACATCATATCTATACAAACATAAATAAAATACATAGTTGAAACTACAAACTACCTTTCCAGATTGGCTTTGATTAAGATCCATAACTAAAAGAATGTCCATTGAACACTAAAATAATAGATGTCACTGTCTAAATGGTGTAAATATGTTAAACTTGAAACTATGATTTACAATTACAGCAAAAAGAATGAAAATTTCATGAATTTGACCTTCAAGGTCAAGGTCATATTAGAGTGAAGGTCAAACTCAGTCTGGTTAACTCACGAGGTATGATCAAGAAGTTCTCGGCCCGATATACTTCTAGCCCCTGCACTGACATTTACACATGATAGGTCGGTATCTATATCTTATTGAAAATTAATGACCGAGTAACACACAGTTTTACACAGATTAAGTAACATAAAACACACTTCAGTAGAGGGGTGTGTCATTTAGACCAAATTGAGAAAATTGAAATCAGAGCCGTCATTAAGAAAGGGATGTCCCCCAAGGAAATCCATGAAGACTTCATGGGAGTCCCCTTCCTATAGCACTGTGAAAAAATGGGCTGCTGAATTTAAGAGGGGCAGGGAGAGCATTGGAGATGATAAGCGGTATGAGATGATAAATTAACAAAGGGCAATAACTCAAACTAGAAATGTGTCATCATGCCACGGATGCCCCCGCATGCAGCCAAAATTTCAGATGTTATAATATTAAGTTCCAAATTTGTTTGCACAAATAATTTTTTTCATTTTAAGTTCAAAGCCCTTAAAACTTTTCAATGTTAACACAAACCATTTTCATACAATGTTCAAGGCACTGAAATTATTCAGTCTAAACCTTTTAAAAATAGCATATTTCATATTTGTAGCCAAAATAATGGCTACATACATTTCAGTGCTGAAACTGAAAGTTCAAAATTTTTAAAAACATTCAAGAAAGATAAGTTTGTCCAAAATCATTGAACCACGACCAAATTCAAACTTAAACTGCTTATTCCTAAGATGTATCTATATTATTTTCAAAGTGAAAGGGACATAACTCTGCCAAAAAGTCATCGAACCATGACCAAATTCAAACTTGACGTGCCCATTCCTTTGACATATCCATATGTCAAATTTGAGTAGTTGGGTAGATAATGAACAGAAACTGTAAATTTCATATTATTTTAAAAGTGAAAGGGGCATTACTCTGCCAAAAATCATTGAACCATGACCAAATTCCAACTTGGCCTGGGCATTCCAAAAATATATCCATATGTCAAATTTGAGTTGAATGTGTTGTACCATTGGGGAGATAATAAACAGAAACTGAAAATTTCATATTATTTTCAAAGTGAAAGGGGCATAACTCTGCCAAAAATCATTGAACCATAACCAACTTTGAACTTGACCTGCGCATTCCTGTGACGTATCCATATGTCAAGTTTGAGTTAAAAGTGTTGTACCATTGGGGAGATAATGACCGGAAACTGAAAATTTCATATTATTTCCAAAGTGAAAGGGGCATAACTCTGCCAAAAATCATTGAACCATGACCAAATTCGAACTTGACCTGTATTTTCTCACGACATATCCATATGTCAAATTTGAGCTGAATGTGTTGTACTGTTGGGGAGATAATGAACGGAAACTGAAAATTTCATATTATTTTCAAAGTAAAAGGGGCATAACTCTGCCAAAAATCATCGAACCATGACCAAATTCGAACTTGACCTGTATTTTCTCATGACATATCCATATGTCAAGTTTGAGTTGAATGTGTTGTACCATTGGGGAGATAATGAACGGAAACTGAAAATTTCATATTATTTTAAAGTAAAAGGGGCACAACTCTGCCTAAAATCATCAAACCATGACCAAATTCGAACTTGACCTGTATTTTCTCACGACATATCCATATGCCAAATTTGAGTTGAATGTGTGCAACCGTTACTAAGATAATGAACGGAAACTGATGATGACGGAATGACAGAATGACGGAAGGACGGAATGACGGAAGGACGGAAGGACGGAAGGACGGAACAGGGTAACACTATATGCCCCGGCCATTACATGGCGGGGGCATAAAAATAAGAAATGCAGAGTACCAGTACTTGAGCACTGCAATTCTCCTTAATGAGATCTATCATCCTATAAAGTTTCATGTCCGTAGCTTTTATACTTTAGGAGAAATGGCCTGGACAAAAATAAAGTATGAAAATTAACAAAGGGCAATAACTCAAAAAATAAGAAATTCAGAGTACCGGTTCTTGTGCATTGCACTTCTTCTTAATGAAATCTATCATCCTATGAAGTTTCAAGTCCATAGCTTTTATACTTTAGGAGAAATGGCCCGGACAAAAATAAAGTATGAAAATTAACAAAGGGCTGTAACTCAAAAAATAAGAAGTGCAGAGCACCAGTTCCTGTGCACTGCACTTCTCCTTAATGAGATCTATCATCCTATGAAGTTTTAAGTTCGTAGCTTTTATACATTAGGAGAATGGCCTGGACAAAAATAAAGTATGAAAATTAACAAAGGGCAATAACTCAAAAATTAAGAAGTGCAGAGTACCGGTTCTTGTGCACTGCACTTTGGGTCATTGTAAGACGCATGCATACCAAGTTTGAAGTCAGTCCGACTTATAATGACTGACTTATGCTCCGGACAAGCTTAAGGGTACGCCGACAACAACGCCGACACCGCCGACAAAAGTAACCCCTATATGTCGCCTTTTTCAAGGCGACACAAAAATATCCAATCGAAAATACCCAGTTGCACAACTATACATTCTGAGCAACATTCTTGTAAGGTTTCATGCGACACAAGTTGAAAATTGCAAAATTTTACTAAGTCAAGGGCAATTACTCTGAAAATACTAAAAATATCCAGACGAAAATACCCAGGTGCAAAACTACACATGCTGATCAACATTCCTGTTAAGTTTCATGACTCTAGGTCAAATACTTTTTGAGTTTCATGCGACACAAGTTGAAAATTGCAAAATTTTACTAAGTCAAGGGCAATAACTCTGAAAATACTAAAAATATCCAGACGAAAATACCCAGGTGCACAACAACACATGCTGATCAACATTCCTGTAAAGTTTCATGACTCTAGGTCAAATACTTTTTGAGTTACATGCGACATAAGTTGAAAATTGCAAAATTTTACTAAGTCAAGGGCAATAACTCTGAAAATACTAAAAATATCCAGACGAAAATACCCAGGTGCACAACTTCACATGCTGATCAACATTCCTGTTAAGTTTCATGACTCTAGGTCAAATACTTTTTGAGTTACGTGCGACACAAAAGTGAACGGACGGACGGACGGACAAGGGTAAATCTAAATGCCCGCCACTAACGTGGGGGCACAATAAAAACTATTATAGTTTGACGGGTGCAATAAACATACCCTTTTGTATTTGTACAGGGATCATTCTGGTCAGGAGTTTTAGTGAGAGATTTTCTCTCATTTGAAAAATTTTAATGAGAGAAATTAGATTTTCTTGAGAGATTTAATTTTCATGATGGGCGAGGTTAAAAATATGGAAATTTCTAACTTTTTAAAATCACTGTACATATAAACATTGTTTATCTAATGAGGATATAGATGTAGCTCTGTTTATAACAGTGATTTTTGTTTTCACTTTTTTGATTCATCCTATGCCTTTTCTTTTGTGAATTTTTAAACATAATAAAATTCTAATTGTGAAAAATAAATGTAACACTTTCATTCTGAAATATAAAAGAATTATATATGGATATCTACTACAACTATTATTTGCAGCCAATGTTCCTAATGGACAACACTGTACTGTACAGAAGTGATTGTTGAGATTTGAAGAATATTTTTTATAGCCTTACATTTTGTTTTCTTTATGATTCTCTTCACACACCTCCCTCCATTAAAAAATATTCATTGAATATGTGACCTGAACACAAGACAAATATCTCCATATCCACAAATATAAACAATACCTAAAGTAATTTTTATTCATAAACATCATTTTTAGTGTCATAGAACACCTTTAAATAACACTCAGCTTCCTTTTAGTATTTTTTTTTTTAATTACAACATCGCGAAAATATGTGACAAATGAATATTTGTCTGTTTTCCGCTGAAACTTTCACAATTCTAGCTGTTGCTGATTGCAATTATATAAAATTAAATATTTTTGTTCAATAAAAGAATATTTATTATCGGCTATTTCATCAGGAATCGTAATTTAATTTGTTCTTTACGGCAAAATTTACCGTGGTTGATGTGACATTTAGAAGACAAATTTTACCGATATTTGGTTTTGACATGTCCATTTTTATGTTAGTCTGTGTCTAACAATTTTTATTAAAATCAATTAAATGTGTTTTGTGTAAATTCTCGACTTACAGATAGATAAAGGTTACAATAGCCATCATACCGTTTTTCTGTACGGTGAATTTGCGGTCTCCGATCGGCAATTATTTTAGGCTAAATAATTCAAAGTGTTGGACTTTTAACTTTTTGGAGTTTTTTCACACCGATTTCATTAATAAACAATTTGAAATTAAATTCTTGTTGGGAATCGTAAATTTTTGATCATTTTTTTGTGTGATTTTAGCATTCTTTAGATTGTGATTAGACATTTTCCGGCTCAAATTGCCGTGCGAGATTTTCTCTCATTTCACAAATTTCTCCGAGATTTTTGTGATTTTTTTGCGAGAAATCGCAGAAATCGCCCCCTAGAATGATCCCTGTTTGTACAATATATTGTGTCTACGTGCGATATTACCAGTGTTTATTTTTCACACTTTTGACATATTTATACACATGCAGTATTACAATTAATTGTTGTCATTGCACATTGTTGATTTTTGTTTATTAACGTTTTGTTTATTGCGTTCATTGAACGCCGCCTTTCCTTGTTGATTTTGTTTATCATATTTAATATACCGATACATGGTGATCACGATGAACACACATTATAAGTCGTCTGCATTTTTACCGGAAGTAATGTACATGTTACATCAACATATCTTGAAATGTTGTCTCAGTGTCTGTTTG